GGCCATCTAACCCAATGAGGCCTTTACGCCTTGCTCAAATCATCTGTTTTCAATGTTACAGGAGAGTGGCCTCTCCGTTGTATGCGGACTATCATAGTCACCATCAGGGCAAAAAGTAAGATTTTTTTAAAGTAAATATTGTCTGGTAATGAGTGTAATACCATCTGATTGTCTTATTTTTCTCTGGGTGGAGAGCAAGGTAAGTCCAGGATGAGACTGATAACCTGGGATAAAATAAAAGGGTCAAGAATCCAGGGGTCCCTTTGGAGTTGAGAAGGAAAGTTGTAGTGGGACTATAAGTATGGCATTAAAGGATGGATAAGTGATTGTTGCCTCGGAATAGACTATTAGAGTTTTTTTTTCATTTCAGAGGAGGATCTGTTGTCATAGGAGATAAGGTACAAAGAGCAGCCTAAGAGTTGCACTATGCAAAACTATGAGAGTGGTTTGATAAATTACAGTGAATACAAGTCCTTTACATTAAGGAGATTTCGGAAGTGTAAAGATGGATTCTGGGTGCATCAACCATGGACCCAGGGCTGGAGAGTCTGACTTAAAGCCAGGTGCTAATGTACATGAGTGAAGGGAAGAGAGATCAACAGGCTGATAATGCTAGTGACAGAGAGAGGCCAATCATGGTAAAGTGCCACAAAGGGGCCAGGATTTTACTTATGAATGAAAGAGTAGTCATCTGGGCCTAGGATTGGTGAGGGGAATGCTGAAGCTATTTCCCAGTTTCATGCTGGTTGGAGAATGGGAATTTGTGTTCTCACCGTGTGGCTTAATTTTGGTTGAAAAGAAAAGAAAAGGAAAGGAAAGGAAAGGAAAGGAAAGGAAAGGAAAGGAAAGAAGAAAAGAAAAAAGAAAAGAAAAGGAAAGAAAAAAGAAAAGGAAGGAAGGAAGGAAGGAAGGAAGGAAGGAAGGAAGGAAGGAAGGAAGGAAGGAAAAGTAATGAGTGGTATAGACTCTGACAATATAGTGTGTTGGGTGTTTTGTTCTCAGTAGAAAGGAAGTCCCAGTGGACACATGGAAAAAATTGGGAGAAAAATGGGACAAAAGGATGAAATAGGGAAAAAAACTGCCTTGCAATTATTATCAATCCAGAAATTCAAGAGACACTTATTAAATGACTTCTAATGCCAGGCACCATTCTAGAAACCAGGGATATAGCATTAAACAACACAGAGAAAGTCTGTGGCATAAAAAATAAAAATAAAAAATAAATTTAAAAAAAAACCCAGCTTCTTATTGACTATTTACATGAAATTTTGGAGGGGATGGGCAGTTTAGAGATTTCTTCTTTTCACTTGTCCCAAATTGCTATAACCATATGAGTATCAGCTAGCTAGCTAAATAAATGGAAGGAAAGATGGAAGGAAGGAAGGAAGGAAGGAAGGAAGGAAGGAAGGAAGGAAGGAAGGGAGAGAGAGAGGGAGGGAGGGAGGGAGGCAATTGCCTTAGGGAAAAGGCTGTCTAGAATAGCAGAAATATGGAAACTATTGGGTTGTCGGAAAAGTCATGACGCATTTTTGCGATGAAAAACAGGGAAAAAATACGTCATGACTTTTCTGACAACCCAATAGATAGTATTTATAAAAGAGTGAGGAAAACTAGTCACCAAACTAAAAGATATAATTTAAGAGAGGAGTAAACTAGATGAAAAAGATAAATCTTTAGAAGGCTGGGACACAAAAATTAATATACATTGTGAGATAGTCTCAGACTAAATAACTGAGTGATTATACACACACACACACACACACACACACACAGAAAGGGTGACAAAATAATGTATACACATTTTAAGAAAGGAAAAAATTGCATTAAAATTGTAATAATATATACCGATAACAAAAGATGAATACAAGTCATGTTTGACTTCTGCAATTACAAGAGGTGCTCTAAGTGGTTACCATCAGCATAATTTTAAACAGGTTTTTCCTTTCTTAAAATGCATATACATTTTTTGGCACCCTCTGTATATATAGAGTGATATATACATATAGAGTGATATATATATATATACACACACACACACACACACACACACACATATATGCACATACCAGTATATACAGTAAAACCTTGCATTGCGAGTAACTTGGTTTGTGATTGTTCTGCAAGACAAGCGAACATTTCTAATACATTTTAACGTGGTAAACAAGCGATGTCTTGCAATACGAGTAGTTTGTTTTCGGAACAAATTACACTCACAAACCAACGTATTACTCTGTGTGTGTGTGTGTGTGTATATATATATATATATATATATA